GACAACTTTACTTGAACTCACACCTGCAAGCAAACCTGTGCCACAGCCACTTGCGCAGCAGCAAGAACCTTTAGCAGAGTCTGCGCCTTGAGCAGACTTCTTCAGGAACGCTGGACGACTTTCGGAAGGCTTTGCGGCAACAGGCCAGCCGTATACGCACGACTTGTGGCTTGGCTTTCCGTCTTGTTGGGTGCGTGTTCACTACGAGCAGCGGACAACACTTTTGGTGCTGGAAGATCCGCACTTTGAAGAGCAGCTTGGCAACGGTCGCATGACTTTGGTTGGGAGGCCTGAGACAGAGGAAGTGCCCTTTTGGCACGCTGACGTTTTGCGCAAGAGTGGCACTACTTTCTTTGATCAGCTCACCCTTTGTTGGAGCCACTTGCTTTGAGAAGGCAGATTTGCAACTTGTGGAGTGTGAGCCAGAAGCTCCAGACTACATTGCGCGTCGCCCGCGCGGCCTTAAGCAGGCGCGAGCCAACTTTGACGGAGCAACTTGAACACGAGCTCTCCCACTTGCCTTTTAAGGCCTGGTGGGAGGTTTGCGTGCGTGCCAACAGCAAGCAGGCCAAGAGCCGCAGACTTTCGCAGCCTGTGTTGCAGATGGACTTTAGCTTTCTTGGCGACAAGCCGGGTGAGGAGTAGATCACAATTGTGAATGTTGTGGATGTCCTTTCGGGCATGGCTTTCTGTTGTGATTCCCACCAAGCCGCGCACACCTTACTCGCAAGCGGAGTTGCGTCGCTTTGTGCTTGAAAGTGGAAGAACTTTCGGTGTGTTGCAAGCGGATCCCGAACCCGCCCTCCTCGCGATTGCTCTGTGACCGGGGACAGATCAAGGCTTTGCGCCTTGAGGTCCTTGAGTGGTGCGTCACGTGCAGTGGCTTGTGAACCGCTACTTGTGCAACGCGGAAGGAACCACGGCTTTTGAGCGACGTTGGCGTAAGACATATGCCGGCTTTATCTGTCGCTTTGGAGAGACCGTGCTTTTCCGCAAGCCGCATCCGCAGAAGGGCCGTGCGGCTTTGGTGCCCGGAGTTTGGCTTGGCAAGGACACAGAGTCTGATCAGCACTTTGTTGCTCGGTGTCTTCAAGACTGTGACCGCGCGTCCCTGGGACCCACAGGTCCGAAGGCTGAGACGGACACTTGTGTCTTTCCTCAAGCCAAGCGGTCCGAGGAGGCGATCGCGGTGGACCCTTCGAATTTTGAGCAGCAGCAGCAGCAGCAGTCGACTGAGCCACTTGCACCTGGAGACTTGCAAGAAGTTGAAGACTTGCTTGGTGACGACTTGAGCGGCTTTGAGCCAAAGGCGATCCCGCCAAGGGAAGACTTGTCGGACTTGGAGTCTTTGCCTACTCCACCTGACGTTGATGATACCTTTGAGCCTCCGCACGTCACTTTGGACCAACAGACACAGGGCCAACCACGGTCCTCAACGGAAGCTGCTTTGCCGCACCCAGCGGCTAGAAGGCCTCGACTTGAGGAGGCGTCTGCTTCTTCTCCGACCAAGCGGACTTCGGAGACTTTGCCTGTTGGTACCACCAAGGTGCAGAGAATGGCCAGCGTTACTTTTGCGCGGACTAAGAAGCGGTTTCGTGTGTGTGTGTGTGTGTGACTTTCGTGTCTCTGCTGTGACAACCAAGCAGGACCTTGTAGTGCCAGTGGCGGTGAATCAAGATGAGAAGGAGCTCTTGTTGATGAAGACACTTGAGAATCCGCAAATTTGGTACAACACGGAGTTTCCACACGAAGAGGAAGTCGCTGGAATGATTAAGGAAATGAAGTCTATGCGAGACTTTGATGTGTTCGATGAGGTCTCAATAGACAACGTTTCTGCTGAAGCTTTGAATTCAGCGATTTCCACTAAGTGGGTTACGGTGCGCAAGCCAGATGGCACTGTGCGCTGTAGGATAGTGGGTAGAGGTTACACCCAACAGGTTGAAGACAAGGATGAGACTTTTGCCTCTACGCCCTCCTTAACCACACTTCGTCTTTTGTTGACTTTGGCTGTAGCGAAGGGATGGCACATATCGATCGGGAGACATTTCGACGGCATTTCTTCATGCCCTGGTCGATGGTGTTTTATGTCATTCCCCCTCACGAGTTTTAGCCTAAGGGCCGTACTTTGTGTAAGCTTAAGAAAGCTCTTTACGGCCTCAAGCACAGCCCGAAGCTTTGGCAGCAACACTTTGCATCTGTCATGGAGAAGAACGGCTTTAGACACATGAAGTCAGACTCAAACCTTTACGTGCATGACAGTAGGCAGCTTTACGTCCTGGCATACGTGGATGACTTGATGTTCTTCGGTTCGCAGGCTGATGTTTCGACTTTGATCCAGGATCTTCAGAAAGACTTCTTGCTCAAGGTGACAGGTACTTTAAATGAAGGTCAAAGTTCGTCGTTTCTAGGCCGCAACCTGAAGCGAACGTCCACGTTTATCTCTGTAGGAATGAGCCCATCTTACATTGATACGATGCTAAAGCTTTATGGTTTGAAACAGTGCCGCCAGGCACTTGCGCCAGGAACGGATGCTTTGAGAAAGCAGCTCGACTGTGAACCTTTGGACCCCGAGGATCACAAACGCTACCGGCTAACACTTCCCCTTTCTCCCCAGACTTTGCCAACATCTGTTGGCTCAGGACCACTTTGTTCTGCAGAGAGAAAGGCGCTTCCGAACTTCAGGGATACTTTGGTCTCAGTCGTGTGAGCTTGTGCACGGAATTACTTTAGGGTAGTTTGGTGTGCATGTTGGACTATTGTACTGTCGCAATGTATGTATTTATGTATGTACGGGCGGGTTTAGGGTTTTAAGGTTCAGGGTTGGTAATTGATATTGGTATTGCTTTTCTTAGGGTTCGCAGGGTTGAGGGTTTGGGTTTTATGGTTTAGGGTTCACGGTTCAGGCTGTCGGGTTTTGCGTTTAGGGTCTAGGGGTTCAGGGTTTAGGGTTTTGGGCTTTACGGTTTAGGGTTTGGGGCTATGCGCGCCCGGCGCGCGCTCGCGCTCTCGGTGCGGTTTACGGTTTCAGGGTTAAGCTGTTTTTTGTAATACGTACTTATGAGCAGTGAGTCTATAGTGCTTACGGTTTTTAGGGTTTGGGGTTGTGCGGTTTCGGGTTTCAGGTTTAAGCTGTTGGGGTGTGACAGTTAAGACTTTGGGTGGCGCATGCCTGGCGCGTGCGGTTGACAGGTTTAGGGTCAGTAAGTTGGGGTTTGACGTTTGTAGTTCGTGGGTATACTGAGTAATCGTATTCGTGCAATAGTTTAGGGTTTCGGAGTTTACTGTTTACGGTTTACACTGTTGGAGTTGTATTATTTAAGGTTTTGATGATGATGCTGCACTGCATCATCCGCTGATTGACCCTCTCCAGACATCATCATGAAAAATGGAGGAAGGCAGGCGAATTCGAATTCTTTTTATGCGACCAAAGAACAGCTGTATGCTTCGTACTGCACGACACGAAGTCATCTTGCTGAGATGTACAAGGTGTGCAAGCTGATGTCTTAGCGTCCTTTTCCGACCAAAACTTTTGGCTTGAATAGTCTGATTGGTGCCCATGACCCTTCGGACGGGGTCAGGGTTTGGGTGGCTGTTGATGAATTGAGAAGGGAGTTGGGGTGTTCCGGGATTTGGGGGTCGCGCGGGCAGCTTCAGCAGGATCCTTCAAAACGTTTCCAGATCATTCTTGTTCTGCTTCAGACGAACGCCAGCTGCACTCAGAAGACTAATGCACTGCTGCAACTGCACGGGGTCTCTTCATTTTTCCTCTCAGTCGCAAGACCTGGGTAACTTGGGGCAGCCCGGACGAAAACTAATCTATCGGACCGCCCATGCTCGGCACGAGTTGTCTATTTCAGAATGAGGGAAGGTACACACCACCCCCACCACTTCAAGGGTGTTCGGGTGGGGCAAAACAAGCAAGCACACCACACACAAAGTGTCCAGCCACACAGGCGACCCTCAGAGCATGTTTTAACAGCTGCTGGCCTGCACATGTCAGGCTGATATATGTTATTGTCTTGGGAGTTGATATTCGGGCCGGTATTGAGCTTCGAGCATTCAGACAGAAACGATGGTCATCGTTGGAAAATTTCATCTGTCGGAGGATCTGAGTGAACGGTCGCAAGGAGTTGAGAATGAAGACGGCTGCCGAAAAGCAGAGGCTTTTACCTCGGAACTTCAAAACCAAACGCTAAGCCTGGATACACCAGAAGCCTAAACGTAGGAGGATTGGTGACGGTATCGCGGCACCTCGCGGTAGTTCTTCCCGGGGGGTTAATAGATGTAGGTATAGATATGAATGGTTTTCGCACGCACGCGGTCCATACGTCACATTCACAGCAGGATGCGCTCCGCCATGTCAGATGTTGCACAGGGCTCAGCTGATTGTTCGATTTTGTGACCATGTGTTCGGTTGTGGCTAGCACGAGGCCTTCCAAATGTTGGCCGTTGCCGAAATTGGCTACGTTCTCACGTGGAGTAGCCGACAGAGTACATGGTGGAAGGAAAACTGCTTTTTCTTGTCGTTGGCTTGACGAGGACGGGGACTTGTCGGTTCACTCAAACGGTTGATCCTGCAGGTGCAGTGGTTCCTTCCGGTATTGACCTATGGCGCCTATATTCTCTGTGCGAGCACTTTCAGCCAGAGGACCGAAGCAACGGACGACTTGGGTTGTTGTTTGTAACTTGTTTTCGAGGCAGCGAGTGGTTGCGCCTGCAGCGCATGGTGACGACCGAGACAGCCTGTCGATTGAGGTGCGGCCGAGTTGGCAAATCGACATTTAGCCGCAACAGAATCAACAGCGTTGTTTCAGGTTGCAGAGGAAGGTCATGCTTGGCACGTTCGGCCGAGCAGGAGTGGCCATCACCGATGACACCTCGTTGAGCTCCTGCGTTCACACGAGGTCAACACGCTTCCGGCGAGACGTCCCAGCAACAGAGGCCGATTTTTTTCGGGTTTGGGGCGGTGTTTTCGGGAATTTGAGAAGGCAGAACCATCCATGGCAGCCGGTTCGCTTGGATGCCAGGAGCTTTTGCAGAGCGATCGGTCACAGAATCGGAAGAATTGTCACCGCACAGAGGAATTGTGGAGGAAGCAGCGATGGGCATCTGGGCCTGCAGCCCAGGGGTTGAAGTCGTGAAAGGCGTTTTCTTGTTTGTGCAGTTTTCTACAGGTCAGGCCGGCACGCGACTTCCAAGGTGGCTTTGGCAAGATTCTCGCATGGTCGACGCAATGGTTATGGAGCAGACGTGACCAAGTTCGTCAGGTCGCAGGGACCTGTTGTGCCCTCGTTGCGCTCTACCTCCTGCTCGACTGCATGGGTCGCGCGTGGCTAAGCACAGCCAAATTAGTGGTTGAGGGCGTGTCACAGAAAGTCCGGAGGCCTTTCGTGCGTGGCAGGCGCCACGCCTGACATTATGGGCTTCATTGCCAGAGCCTGAGAAAGCGGGTGTCGGGTGGAGGGTGGGCGGATCCGCTCCGCGCTCAGGTCCTTGCAGCTGGACTCCGGATTCCTGGCCTCTTGGAGGTGTTGGCCCTGGGGCCAGCCCTGGATGCCAAGAAAAGTGAAAGTACCTCGGCAGAAAGCGGCTCCTCGTTTTGCGACTTGCTCTGACTCTTTGTCTTCTCCGCTGTGACAAGGCGACGCCGAAGCAACCGAGGCGTCCGCGCCCCTTGTTCCTCATGGCAGGGCAAGAGCCATAGACCATAGACATAGAACTTCTCGGATTCTTGTCTTGCCGTTCTCTTGCTGGGTGCTCTTTTCTGCGAAAGCTCGGGGCTTTCGTGGTATCGGCTTGGAGCTTGCAGTCACTCATCTTTCGCAAGTATGAGACAACTGCGACAGCACATGATCTTGAACCCAACAGGGCATCCCAAGGTCCTGCCACAAAAAGTTTCTTTACAGCAGGCGTCGAGTGAAGGGTTATGTGCAGGTGAAGCCTGTATGTCATATTTTCACATTGTGCAGCATTTGTCGTGCCCAAGGGAGTGAAGAGTACTAGTTACGAAGCGTTGGCGCTTGATTCCACGGGCACAAAGCTGCATCCCTGGCATCCAAGCGGGGCTTTCCGGCGCGGGATGCAGGACCAGACGACGGACTCCGCGAAGCTTCCCGGCAGCTCCTTGGCGCTCCTCGCGGCGTCGTCGGCCATCCCTGTGAGCTTGAAGGTGAAGGCTCGAGTGATGCCTCTCCTCTCCGCTCTCCGCTCTCCTCTCGGCTTCGTCTCTCCTGCAGGGCCAGGCGGTCGAGTCCTTCGAGTACCTTGCTATTCTGCTGGTCCGCACTGCTCTGCCGCTCTGCTCTCAGAAACGCCTCTCACCGTCTTCAACCTGTCGTGCCGCGCCAGGGTGCGCAGATTGTGCACTTGGTGGTGTTGCTTTGGCGTGGGTCTTACTCGGATTTCCTGGGATGCTCTGCCGTTGCTGGTATCAGTGCAATGAATCAGAGGCTAGGACACCCTCTTTCTTGACAGCTTTTCTTGTACTGCGCCGAGCCAGCTTCCCGGAAGGAGAAATCCAAACCTGTGCCCGGAGATGGGCGATGAGCTGGAAACCACCTGGCTGTAGCTGCGTTCCAGCCATGAACGCCACTGATGTGAACACTGCATGTGCGAAGGTTTTTGGACGCTGCGAGGCAAACAAATCTGCATCCACTCCCGCGTCACTTTGTCCTGTGTTTCGTCATGTTGCATGGGCTATCAGCGTCGGTTGAACGGTTGAAAAGTGACGGCGTTGCCACAAACTGACATGTCATGGCATGCTTTTGAACTTGAGCTTGTGCTTTGGCGCTTCAATTATATCCGGGTCCGGGCCCACATGCGTAGTACGGATTGAGGAGGCTACGCATGGAGCACATGGGGACCTTGAGGCTTCCCGTATTTGATTTCAGGGCCTCGCGGCTCCACGAATAAAACATGTCAGACGGGGTTTGAAGCATCCATCTCTTCATTCAAGCCTTGGGCTTCTGGGGCTTGTGGATCGAAGTTCTGAAGGCTGGGCCGACAGCGCTGGGTCGGATGCCTGCTGCTCACCCTGTATGGTGGGTTTGGCTCCCAGACTCAGAGTCCCAGTGCTGCTGTGTTTCTGCATCAGAATCGTGGCAGGTGCCTGGTCTGGGTCCTGACTCGTTTCTATCTGACCGAGTTTTTGCGAGAGTAGTTGTTCCGGCTGTGTTGGGCGATGCGTCAAAACGACAGCGGCGCTCTGCAGATCTCGAAGAGGGTTCTTTCAGTCTCGCGTCATGCATGCATGTGTGAGTGAACCTCCCTAGCACATGGGAGCAGAGGGTCGCTCTTATTGTTGATTGCTCATTATTGTCAGCCACATGTTGTGTTTCCAAAAAGTATAAAATCTTGCAGGGGGTGCCAGGGGATTGCAGAAGGCTGGCACCAACGAAGACCTTTCTGCTTTCCTGTGAAATCGACTTGGGACGCCAAGTCGACGTACCTGCAGTTTGTGACACATTTCATCGTGCAAGCTGTGCATGGTTCTATCCTGTGATATCATCGCTGTGCAAAACAAAACCACTGGTCGGCAGCTCAGGTTGCTCAGGTCTGCTTTTGCGTGTACGGTTGCAGCAATCTGAATTACACAACAAGAAAGTGCAACATGCCTCTCTTCCTTCCTTTCTTCACTCTTGCTCTTGGCCGAATCAATCAGTGTGATCAGCGTGGGTCATGAGACTCCAGAGCAACAGCTTTCCGTCATGGCGCCGTGGTGACCCTTCGTGGGAGACCGGTGATGAACCGGATTGTTCAGACCTTTGGTTCAGACGTTCAGATCTCCCGCTGCTACTAATTCCCCTCTCTCTCTCTGATGCCTGCATGTGAGTCTGACATGAGTGCAGGTGCAGTAACTGGCGTCTAGTGCAGTAACCGGCTGCTAATGCACAGGACTACCTCGCTATTCTGCCGTCCTTATTCTGTCTCCTCCTTCTCAGGGAATGCAAGGGCATGTGAAGCTGACATGAGTGCAGATGTGGTAATCTTCGTCTAATGCAAGTGACTGCAGCTGCCTGCGGGAAGTAATTGTGGTACGAGCAGCACGCCGCCCACCGCCCAACGGGAATGAGCCATCAACCGCAGTTTTTTCAACAGCCGCAGCCGGAACATCAAGTTTGGACACCGGCATCACCGTACCCGACGGCAACACGCCCACATGTGCAGCCACAGCAGCATGAGCCATGGATGCAACCTGCATGCTATACAACACAGCCAAAATACTTGGCACAGGTGCAACCCGCACAGACAATGCAGCCGTCTATGCCACAATTCAGCAACGCTCAAGGCACACTAACGATGCCAGGACCACCAACACCACTCCATCACCAAACACACTCACTTCTCCACCCATCCGTACAACTTCAACAACCAAGTCCCACCGTACAAACTACAGTTCAACCAGCACCGCCACAACACTTCATGACACCACACACGACATCTTTGTTATGCCGCCACAACCAACATTTCTTATGATGCTTCAGCTACACACGACTCCTCAATTTTCAGCACCACTTGCACCTACCACATTCACGGCAACAGCCCCGGCACACAGCACGTCCTTCGTTTACAGCCAACCAACACAACAGCTGACAGCACCCCCACCCACACCCATCGCCACATCAACAGTACCAAATTTGCTGCCGGATCCATCTACCCAACATATTGCAGCCACACCCACGGCACAAGGCCCACAGGCAACACCAGCACCCTCCCAGACTGCGGGAGATCAGAATGTATCCACCCAGGCGCCGACAGCATCCGGGGACGGGCCTCACCCGGCTTCGCCTCTTCCACGCCGCAGACATCGCTCCCACCCACAGCCGCGCACGAACAGCAAACAGAAGCAACCCACGCAAGTACAAGAAGCACCACGAGAGACACCAACGCTCCCACAGCCGCCATCGTCGAGACCGCACGCCCACTACAAGGCGCAGGCGCACACACAGGCGCAGCCGGAGCAGCCGTGGGTCATTGGAAACCAGGACTCCCGCCGTGGTGCTCCGCAGCTATTCCACGGTCCAAGCCCAGTCAGGGAACCAAGATCGATGGCATTTTCAGAGAGAGCGAACTCCACCAACCCGGCAAACTCAACGCTTACCCACACCACCAGCAGTTCCACAACAGCAACGCCACCATACCGGCGGTGCGTCACAGAGCCTCACCTCGCAATTTCAGCGGGTGGCTCAACAAGTTCGTTTGAAAGCCTCCTCACCCCAGCAACCTGGTATGCTTTCTTCAGCCCAGCAGTCTGCAACCGCGGCAGCGCAGCCGCTTCCGGTGGATCCTACTACAGCACCACAGCAGAGCATGGAGCAGTTGCGCCAAGACAGACGTCCTCCACAAACGGACGTTATTCCATATTCGGAAGTGTTCGAGAACCAGAAGCCCACGGCACATGCAGTTGACCTTGAAGAGGTCACAAAGCTGACTCAGACATTGATTGAACTCGCGACAGAAACCGAGATCAAAATCAACACATTACAGGAATTTGCCTACGGCGTCCTGTCGTCTGGGACTCGGCAAGCTTGCGAAGAATTAAATTCGGTCGTCACCCCCATCAGCGATGGGGTACACCAGATGCTCTTTGTGCCATGGCGCGGCGAGCAACGCCGGCCTTTCGGCTGTACACAGCATGAGCAACCTGGCGGCACTTACGTGTATACGTGGGCCCACGGCACAGACATGGCCACTGCAGCCAAAATCATGCTAGAGGATCTTCGCAGACCCACCTCGATCAAGCATACATTTGGCGTCAACTACAATGAAATACCAGCATGCGTGGTCTATGGCAGCGCCACACCGGGTTGCGGACCAGGCCACCCGCAGACCTAAACAGCAGCAGGGTATCCTTGTTTTCGGCAAAGTCCGCAGCAAATTCCAACATTATAAAATCTCGTACAGGGATATGTGGCGGGAATCATTCATTGTCGGCCGCAAAGGCATGGTCAGAACCCCTGAAAAATGGGGTTCCGCGCTGGACATTTCAGCATCGTTGGCTTCGGCATCATTCAGTAAGTTCACTTGCCTTACTGTTCAGTTCACGGGTCTTCCTGTTTGCTTACATGTTGTTTTCTTCCGATGCCAGGTTTTGTTCACCCAGCTGATAAAGCTGGCTAACATTGCTCCGACTCGCATTTCTGAGCCAAACAGGTGCCAGGTAACCTGGATACAGCGCAAGAGTCAGCTTGAAGGTTTGTTGGAGTGCATGCTTCTTCGTGTACCCCGCAGCCTTTTGCAGCTACCAGCATTCTAACAGACCCACAGGATGCAGATGAATCAACATTCCCAACCACGGTGGACACCGACGCCACCGACAGGCATGATGGGCACTTCCATCAGCACGCTACAGAGATCCATGACGATGCCGATTCGACCAGGGGGACTACCTCCTCCACCACCACCCAGCAATCAGGCAACTACGATCCACACACCCCACACCCTCCACACTCCATCAACATGGAATCACATACCGGCGACTAACATCCCTTGCTCCCAGCCAACCTTCCCACCACCACCTCCACCCCCGCACGCACCACCTCCACAACTGCACGCACCTTCCCCACCAACTTCCCCTCCACCCTCGCATTACTCACCATCACCATCAGCTTTGTCACCCGCTTCCTCACCTACTTTCTCAACTACACTAACCACACAGACACCGACACCGACAACACCCCACACCGGCAACAACACCACCACGGCAACACCATTTACTACTCAGATACCACACGACTTTGTACAAACGTCGGAACGTTGGGACAACAGGCAACTAGTCGGCCTTAATCTTCCCCGACACATACCACCACATTCGGTTCAAAACAAAACAACCGGATTACCAATCGCTACCATACCCTTGGTGGCTTTTCTTCGCCACAATTGGTCGTCGTACCGGTTAAGGTACACGTCTCACGGCTATGAATTTGCACATTACATGCAACAAGCATGTCAGCGAGGCAGTTTTCACTACAGAGCTTCTAGGGATGCTTAGGGCACGCCGAATAGATTTGGATCAAGCAGCCACCGCGTTCTGCTGGCAGGAGAAGCTAAATCTGGCAAAACTTCCGGCTATGTCACAGCTGATCAAGGAATTGGTCCTTCATTTGCAAGAGTTACAAGACCAGTACAATGATGCCAACAAGGCATCAAAATCGACAGCTCCTCACCACCTGAGCAGACAGAAGCAACAACACAAGACTCCCAGCAGGAGCAGCAATCGGAAAAACCGGGCCCTCAACTCCCGGTTCAGGAGCCACAGAAGGATGCGCGTGACCCGCATTCAGCTCATCGAATCAGTGACTTAGAAGCGCAACTGGCTTCAGCCTTGGAAGCAGTCGAAGCAATGAAAGCAGCGGGGTCAACCGGCGGTCACCCCAGCACTCCCAAGAAGTCAAAAGTACACCAATCCGCGCAGCCTCGCACTCCAGCCGCCACAACACACAACCCAACTGGACAACCCTCTGCCATCGAGGTCTCACCAACGAATGAGAATCGAGGGCAAAAACGCGCTCTCACTTTGGACAGCAACACGGACAGCACGCATACACACACCGCTTCTACCTCATCCGG